ATGAAACAGCTGGGGCTATGGAATTAATAGTCAGTCAGCAACGCCAAGCCAGAGCTGCAATATATCAGAATAGACTGGCTTTGGACTATCTATTGGCTGAAGAGGGGGGTGTTTGCGGGAAATTTAATACATCAGATTGTTGTTTGCAAATTGATGACAATGGAAATGCCGTTCTAGATATCGCCAAGAACATCAGAAAAATAGCCCATGTGCCAGTCCAAAAATGGGAGTCAATGATGACCACCAATTGGTGGAATAACCTGTTGGGGACAGAATGGTGGAAGAAGCTAGGTTTCTTCCTCCTATGCGCTACAGCTGGTTTAATATTCCTTCCTTGTCTAATCCCCTGTTTCATCCAACTAATCACCAAAGTGGTGCAGGGCATGCAAATAGTAGCAATGCCTACAGACCCAAAATTGGCTACATCTGGAACGGCACAAAAAATCATGATATTAAGAAAACAAAATAATGTGAAAGATCCGCTAGAAGAAGCTAAATTGATTTGTGAGAAAAATGAACGAGTGCTAGAAGCTAGGAAACAAGAATTATTGCTCAAGCCAAATGATTTATAAAAAAAATAAAAGGAGGGGTTGTTGTGAATTCATGTTGTAAATATTGGCTTTTCACAATTATTCTGATAAATATATATTATATGCTTTCACTATATTCTTTTCTCTCTTAGCAAGTTATAGGCTTAGATAGGAATTCTGAATGATAAAGATATGTTTCATCCGGACAAGGCAAGACAATGGGAGGATCAAGCTGTGGAAAACAGGCTATTATCAGCAGCAGGAAATGGAGAGCAAACTGTTATCAAAAAGCCGGTACCAGGACGTGGGCAGGGGGGAAAGATAAGCTCAGCTGCCCTCAGAAGGAGGATGAGGGGCCCAGACCCTTATCAACAAGTGACCATCTGCAGAAAAAAGGAAACCAGACTCCAAAAGAATGCTGACCAGCTAGAATAATGATGACCAGCAAAAAAATTATGCTGACCAGCAGAAAATGAGACTGTGCAAGAGCATGATCCAAGAAGGCGGAACCAGGGAGGGGACATGCTTGAATATGCATTAACCCCTCACAGCAAGGATGGGATAAAAGGGGTATCCCTGAGATACCAGGTGTGCTCTTGGCAGCGCGCCAAGGCACCCGGCCGTAACTCTTTGCTTTACTTTATGTCTCTTATTGTCTTTATTAAACTTTTTTAAAATTTTACAGGAGTGAACTTCGTTTTTCACACTGATATAATAATTTCTGCTCTAACAAGAAGGATGTTATTACAACCAAGAAGAGAAAAAAATCAATGCGTGACAATAGAATATATTCGAGCCTGTTTATGGTGCAAGTTAAACCTTAATATTCCTAACCTTTATCTCACTGTAACAAAGGCAGAAAGCAGCAGGCACTGTATGACTCATTTCACCTCCCAGAGCTTGACTGTGTTTTTCACCACGCTGGCTTTCAGAAGGAAAGAGGGAGCACTAACACTTTGCAGCAAAAGCATTCTGCCCCTGATGCTGAAGTGATGTGCAGGGTAGGCAGGCTCTGTCTTGCAACAAATGTCACTTCACACAGGTCATGTTAATTACATTGCTTATGTGAATAATTGTTGTGGTTTAGGAATGGCATTCCCCAATTTAGTGCTCCCACTAACACTCTATAAATCACTATCCCCTGTCACTGAAGAACAAGAAGTATTGACGGTTCCCCAGACAATCAGACACACAGCCGCTTCTTTGTGAGGCAAAAAGCTGTTATTTTGGGGATTTTTTTAACCCCTTCTATAAGGAGTTTTGATACAGGTTACATGATTAGACAATAAGACAACACCCCCTTTGGTCCCATTGGTGGGACCAGAGAAGACACATAAAGAACATTTGTTCAGTATTGTTTTGAGAAATATAATCTATTTACAATAAAACAATCCTTGAGAGAAAACTGTTCCCAGGAACTTTTCCCCTGGGAAACAGATGAATCCCTGACAGGCTGAAACTCTCTCAGGCTCAGAAAATCATGTCCACATCTCACCTTTTTATTTTATAACAAAGGGAAAAAAAAGAAAAAATGAGCAAGATGTTTCAATGCCTGCTCATAGAGGGACCATCTGTGCGAGTGATCACTTGCATCTTCCGCATCTGTGTCATCACTCAGAGATTCCTTCACTTGATGACCGTCATTCTGGTCACAGCCTATGGTTTGAGTGTTTGTGGAGGCCGGGGAACTGGCCAGTTCAGAAATCCTGTCTCTCCCTTGGAGGGATTCTCCCTAGGCGAGGCACTTCGCTCTCAGAGAGAGAAAAGCGTCACTCCCAGAGGTCCTTGAGTTATGTTAATATGTTACACCCCATTGGTTTCCCTCCCTGTCAATCCACCCTGATACATGTATCCCAGTTTCCCCCGCCCCTCTCCTTCCCTATAAATATCCGTTTTTTTCCCCAGTTCAGGGAGCTGCTGTCACTGGCTCCCTTCATTGAGGGCCCTGCTATAATAAAGGCTATTTCTCAGTGGAATGCCATACAGCTCTCTAGTCTCTCTCTCTCCACGTTGCCTGCATGCTGCTGCTGAGCTGAGACCACTTGCCAGGCAGAGGACGTGCCTGTGCCCCAGGGCAGTCCTTTTCAAGACGGCTTCTTCAGGGTAGTCGCGGCATCCCTGCCATCGACACCACCGCAGCAACTGTTGGCTCAGTTCTGCCTTTGTGATTGCAGGTCAGGACGGACACATTTTGTAGATACCCAGGCACCCCAGTATCTGTGGATATACATGCATACCCACTACCTGAAGCAGTAAGTTCAAACAGGCCTTCCTACTGCTCGATGGTTAAATTTCACACTTGAACTCTCGCTCAGGGCTGAGGTGTCTCGCCTGAAGCCTGCAAAGAAAGATGATGGTTCAAGATGACTGGGTTATTTGAATTCTGCAGCACTGTAAGGTGATTTATCGTTTACAAAGCTTTTGCTAATTGACTCTGCGGGGTTTCAGCCTGCATTCCCTGTTTTTGTTTTTGAAGAACTTGCTTCAGAGTACCATGAGCACATTCAACAATGGCTTGGCTAGTTGGAGAATGTGGAAACACCCCACAAGTGCATAAACTGCCCCACTTTCTGTGAGGCATAAGCAGGGCCATTATTGGTTTTCACAGTAGAAGGTATCCCTAGCATGGCAAAAGCCTGCCTCCAATGGGCAATGACATTGCGAGTTTTTTCTCCACTGTGAGCAGAAGCCCACATTGCAGAGGAGAAAGTGTCAACAGACACACGCACATACTTGATCCTTCTGAATTCAGCAATTTGGGTAACATCCGTTCACCAAATTTCCAAGGCCTTGAGACCTCTAGGGTTTATGCACTCCGGTAAAGGTGGAGCAAGCGCGTGACAGTCATCACAGGAATTGACAATTTCACTAGCTTCAGTTGGAGTCAACTGAAACTGCTTTTGCAATGTTACGTGCATTTTGATGAAAGAATTCATGCAATGCTCTGGCTTGTGCTAGTACATCAGGCTGAGGTGCTACCCAGGCAGGGTTAGCCCATTTTTCAGCTCTGGCATTACCTTCTGCTATGGAACCTGGCAGATTGGCATAGCTTGTACCTTGCTCTTGAACGAAATCTGGAAGGGCGACTACATTTTCTTTTTGGAGGGACCACTGGTTTTCCCAGACAGGTTTATCCCCACACCCCCATAAGGGAGGCATGGGGCACAGTGTGCCCTTTGCCGCAGTGGCCCCCTTCAAAAATCCGTCCTGATCTGAACCCCCCCAAATTGCCAGTACATCCCGCCCCCAGAGGCTAGCAATAGCCGTGGTGATGTAAGTCCAAACTGTAGGAAATTGTCCCTCTGAGTTTGTTATATGCATAGGCTGCTGGCTGATGAAGCATTTCGCTGTTTCACCCAATCCTGCGACAGGCAATTCCACAGGATCCAGAGGCCACTGCGGAGGCCACACAGAGGAGGACAGGATGGTCACATCAGCACCTGTGTTGATCAGACCTTGCAGGTGGAGCTCTGGTGTGACTCGATCTTCTCGAGTGTGGCCCGGCTAGCTCAGTGATGAGGTTTCTCTTCACTCGAGTTTCGAGCCAGCATATGTTTGTGGGGTTCACTGATTTTCTTCAAGAATCCAAGTCTATAGAGCGAGTAAAGAAATCAGGGGGGGACTCTCTCTCTGGTTTGCATTCCACAGTTTATTTCTGTGAAGGGGAATCCAAAGGATGAGAGACAAAGGATTTGGGGTTTGGGGGGGTCTCTTTTAACAGGGTTTCTCGGAGGGAGGGAACATCAGAGAGGGAACCAATTATTTTTCTCAGTTAGTACATCTTACAAACTTTCTACAAATCAAGGTTACACACGCCAAGATAAAAAATAACAGACACTAACTTCTTCAAATGCCCACAAAGGTGTGGGAGTATTCTATACAGAGGGGCAGAGGGGGAGAGAGGGGGGGCCTGGTTTCCTGGCAACACAGGGGGGAAAGAAAGGGAAGGCAAGGTAAGCATGCCCTCTCAGCTTCCATAGTTTAGAGGCATTCTGGGACAGGAAAAAGTTACAAACTTCCGTGTAGGAAAGAAGAGTTCTCTTCTCCCAACCCCGTGCTTTCCTGGGCTAAAGAAACTTCAAGCAGCTGGAAATGCCAGCGGGGTCCTCTCTTTACTCTACCCGGCCTCTCGCCGTGGGGCTGAGGAGAGAAACTTCAGTAACCATGGTAACTTGACGCCAGGTAAACAGGAGAAAGAGAAGCTGGGGGGGAATCACAACTAAAAGATGGGAAAAGATACATTTCAGGCTATCAACTACAACATCTCCCCCTAATTTTTTCCAAAAGAAGGAAGGGAACTTGGTTTTACTTCTTCAAACCAAGGGGAAGGGGTTTGGGGTGTATTGGGATTTGGGAATTCCACAGCATTTATCTGAGGTGCAGGAGAAATTAACTTGGTGGTGGTGGTAACACACCAACGTTGCAAAACAGAAAACATAATCAAAACAACAACAACAATTGCAAAAAACCCTAAAACAGTCCAGAAAACAGAAGACAGCCATCCCGAAAATCCCCATCCTGAGAAAATGTCTACAAAACTGTCATACTGAGGATGGTTTCTTCTTAAAATACAGGTAAACAAGGAACAAAAACCATTAGCTAAATTCATCAATAAACAGATTCAACAGTGGAAAGTCAGGGTAGAATGGAGAATCTGGATTTCCTTCTCCACCCAAATACCTGTTTGTTCTTTGAACTTCTGCTACTGAAATATCGGGGGGTCTTGTGGGATGTTTTTCAATGTACGGTTTTACCCACCTCTGTGGGACCCACCGCAAACCCAGGGGTGTTGATACACAAGCGTATCCTCTTCCCCATGTCACTAATTTGTAAGGACCTTCAATTTTTCCACTCTCAGGGTCTCTCATCAGCACTGGTGGATGTTCCTTGAGCTTGTGTTTGCCATGAGGGGAGAAATGCTTAACCACTGGGGGGTTTTGATCTTCCATAGAACAGTTTAAAAAATTGAGAGTGAACAGGGCTTTGCATAATCTTTCCTGTGGTGTTAACTTTACTTTGTTTTTCCATTGATTTTTCAAAACTCTTTTGAGTGACTGGTGTGCTCTCTCTACTATTGCTTGACCTGTTGGAGAGTGGGGGATTCCTGTCTTGTGTCTCACTCCCCATTCCTGCAAAAATTCCTTAAACACTTTGGAAATATATGCTGGTCCATTATCTGTTTTAATTTCTTTAGGGATTCCTAGTACAGAAAAAGCTTGCAACAGGTGCTTTGTGGCATGCACACCTTTTTCTCCTGCATGGGCTGAGGCAAAAATTGCTCCCGAGAAGGTATCAATGGATACATGTACATATTTTACCTGTCCAAATTCAGGGATGTGTGTTACATCAGTTTGCCATACTTCACAGCTTTTCAGTCCCCTTGGATTGACTCCAGCACCCAGGGATGGCAGAGCTGTGCGCTGACAGTGGGGACATGTGGCCACAATGGCTTTGGCTTGATCTCGTTTCAGATTAAACTGTCGAATCAAACCTGGTACATTCTGATGAAACATTTCATGGCTTAATTTTGCCTGTTGAAACAGGTCAGGGAGTCTGGCCAGTCCAACAGGGGCAGCAGCCAGGGAATCAGCTCTGTCATTCCCTTCTGCTATGAAACCAGGTAATTCCATGTGCGACCGGGTATGCATAACAAAATAGGGATGTTCTCGATGGGAAACTGCATAAATTAATTTTGAGAGCAATTCAAACAAAGTTCTGTTTGAGATCTCCTTGAGGACTGCATTTTCTGCTCTGGAAACTACTCCTGCTACATAAGCTGAATCAGTGACCAAATTGAATGGTTCTGAAAACCTCTCAAATGCTCTAACCACTGCTGCTAACTCAGCAATTTGAGGGGATCCTTCTACATAATCAACATCTGTTTCCCACTGCTGCGTCTGAGGATCCTTCCAGGTCATTACTGACCTTCGGGATGCTCCAGAAGCATCAGTAAAAACAGTCAAAGCTTCAAGGGGCTTCTGACTCCTCTTATCTTTTGGTACCAAATTAAATTTTGAATTAAACAATTTGTGTGCAGGGGCATGAACTGAAATCTGCCCAGTAAAATTCTCCAGAGCAATTTGCAGGGTCTCTTGATTCCTCAAGAGGTGCTCAAACATTTCCCTGGTCATCTTCACTGAGGAGGTTTCTTCCTCAGAGAGGCTTAGGGGCAAATGTATACATGAAAAATCACAGCCAGCAAGTTCTCTCATTCTCAGCCTGGCCTTTCCAACCAGCTGGGCCATCAATTCCTGTGGCCTTGTAATATTTTTGGACCGATGGTGACTGAGAAAGACCCACTCAATGATTATCAAATGGTCTTTCTGGTCCTTGTCCCACTGAAAAATCAACCCCTGAAGGTGTGGCAATTTCCCCATTACAATAAATTTGAAAGGCAGCTCTGGATGGCATCTATGTGCCTGTCTCTTCTCCATCATGCTGCTTACCTTCTCTAAAGCATCCCTGGCTTCTGGAGTCAGAGTCCTTGGAGCACTCAGCTCATCTCCCCCTTTCAATAAATTGAAAAGAGGGGCTAGGTCATCAGTGGCAATGCCTAGCCAAGGCCTAACCCAATTCAATGTTCCACACAGAGAGTGCAAGTCGGCTAAGGTTTTGGGATTGCTGTTAAAAGCTAATTTTTGAGGAACAATTGTTTTTGCAGTGATTTCCAGACCTAGGTATTTCCAAGGAGGCATCTTTTGTACTTTTTCTTCCTGAAGGGTGAGTCCTGCAGTTGTTAAAACTTCGGTCACCCGGTCCAGTGTGGACTGGAGCAATTTTTCCTGGGGGGCACACACTAGCACATCATCCATATAATGCAGGATAATGGCTTCCCCCACCTCAGCTCGCACAGGGGATAACAAGGCAGCAACATACCATTGGCAAATCACAGGTGAATTTTTCATCCCTTGGGGGAGGGATTTCCAATGAAACCTTCTCATTGGGGCTTCTCTGTTGAGGGAAGGCACAGAAAAAGCAAACCTGGGGGCATCGATAGGGTCTAGAGGAATTTTGAAAAAGCAATCTTTGATGTCAATCACAGCCAATTCCCAATTTTGAGGAAGCATGGCAGGAGACGGCATCCCTGGTTGAAGAGGTCCCATGTCTACAATGACTTTGTTAATTTCTCTCAGATCATGAACTAATCTCCACTTGTCTTTCCCTGGCTTTTTAATGACAAACACAGGGGAGTTCCAAGGGCTAAAAGTAGGTTCAATATTGCCTTGGGCCAATTGCTCATCTACTAACTCGTTTAGCGCCTTTAATTTCTCTTTACTCAGCGGCCACTGGGGTATCCAAATTGGGGAATCTGTGGTCCATTCTAGTTTTTGGGTCTGGCGCTTCTCAGTGGCTGCAATCAAAAATCCCGAGGTGTTTTCGGAATTTCAATGCGGACTCCCCATTGGGACATGACATCTCTTCCCCACAGGGGAACCTGGAAATCAGTGACAATGGGGCGAATAGATGCTATTTGCCCATCAGGTCCTCTAATCTGAATGGGTTCCTTTGATATCTTGGCCAATTGGGCTCCCCCTATACCTTGGATGTGGCTAACCATCGGTTGCAGTTCCCATTGTGGTGGCCATCTCCTTTCAGGGATGACAGTCACATCTGCTCCTGTGTCTATCATGCCTGTCATTCCCATGCCTTCACTACCTTTTTTTCAAATGGCATGAGATGATGGGTTTGTTTTCTCCCACTGCTTGAGCCCAGTAGATCTGAGGTGCTACATCGTCTACTGGGATCCCTGATGGAATGGGAATAGCTTGAGCAATTACCTGCCCTTGTGTCAGGTAGAATGGTGGGTTGATGCACCATGCCAAAAGGATGAGTGCATCCAAATCAGCTGAAAGAGTGACAGGAGAAATTTCAGTCTCTGGGGGTGTGTTTTTTGTGTCCCCAATAACAAGAAACTTACAATTCAGGTCGGAGATCAGTTTTTCCCTCAGCGGGTCAACAGAAACAACCGTCCAGTGGTGAGACCTAAAAAATTGATCTTTCAGAGTAAACAATTTGAGAAGTAATTTTGGCTTCCAAACCTCACAACCCTTGGTGTTATTTCGGTGGCAGAAGTCAGACCTGTGAGAAACGTCACATTTAAGAGTGTTATCACATTCAATTTTCCCTCCCCTTGTGACTTCTATTCCACTTGTGTCTCTGCGTGGAATAGACTCGTGCTGGGTATCTAATGTTTTTGGTTCTGAGGACCCCCTCCCTTTTCCAGGTTTCCCTGC